CCAAATATCACATTTGTCAGTTAAATAAAAATAATATATAATAACAATAACACAGAATAAAAATAAAACACATAAAATAACACATAAAAAGCTACCAAATCAGGAAGACTTTGGCCAAATATCTGATTTTGCACTGTGAAGGAAACCCTTGGAGATGCTCCCATGGGGTGGATTTTAAGTCAATGAAAGCCCAAATATGGCATTTGTCAATTAAATAAAAACAATATATAATAAAATTAATACATAATAAAAAATAAACACCTAAAATAAGACATAAAAGGCTTCTAAATCAGAAAGACTCTTGGCCAGATATCTGAGTGACTTTGGACTTTAAAGGAAACCCTTGGAGATGCTCTCATGGTTTTTTTTTTCAGTCAATAAAAACCCACCTGGGACTGAATTTGGTGCAGAAAAAGGTGCTTTTTGTCCCCCTCTCAGTCACCTCCAGGGGTTCCTTCCCTCTCCTCTCTCTGGGGGTGAGTGGCTGGGAGAGCAGGAGGAATTCCAAGTGGATTTACAAGGTGGTTCCCAATTTTAGGGAGGGAAAGGAGACGCTGGATCCAAGGGAATGATGGGACCCTTTGGAGCCAGAGGACCCGTGGGACAGAAGGTGAGTGCAGGGAGCAGGAATTTGGAGGTATTTCCTGGGAGAATTGAGGGGAAAAAAATGACACAAAGCTGGAAAATCCCACGGGATTGATGGAGAGATCCATCGGGAACTGGGGTGGGAAATCACACAGAGCTGGTGTGGAAAATTAGATATAATTCATGTGTAAAATTACCCAAAACTGGTGTGGAAAATTAGACAAAATTGATGTGGAAAATCATACAGAACTGGTGTGTAAAATCACACAAAATTCATGTGTAAAATCAGACAAAACTGATGTATGAAATCACACAGAACTGGTATGTAAAACCACTCAAGAACTGGTGTGTAAAACCCCACAAAACTGATGTGCAAAATCTCACAAAATTGGTGTGTAAAATCAGAGAGAACTGATTGTAAATTACTCAAGAACTGATGTTTAAAATAACACAGAACTGGTGTGTAAATCCCACCAAACTGATGTGTGAAATCCCACAAAAATTAAGTGTAAGATCCCACAAAACTGATTGTAAATTACTCGAGAACTGCTATTTAAAATCCCACAAAACTCATGTGTCAAATCCAACAAAAGACGTGTAAAAATCCCACAAATGTGATTTGTAAAATCCCACCAAACTGGTTTGTAAAAATCCCACAAATCTGATGTGTAAAATAAAAAAAAAAAAACCCTGATGTGTAAAATCCAACAAATGATGTGTAAAATCACAAAAAAAACCACATAAAAATCTCATTAATTTGATGTGTAAAATCCCACAAAACTGGTGTGTAACATCCCACAAGAGACATGTAAAAATCCCACAAAACTGATGTGTAAAATCACCAAAATTTGATGTGAAAATTGCACAAAATTGAGGTGTAAAATCCCACAAAAGATGTGGAAAATCCTAAAAAAATGATGTGTAAAATCCCACAAAACTGATGTGTAAAATCAAACAGAACTGATTATAAATTACTCAAGAAGTGGTGTGTAAAATCAGACAAAATTGATCTGTAAAATCACGCAAAACTGGTGTGTAAAAGCACAGAAAGTTGATGTGCAAAATCACTCAGAATTGATGTTTAAAGTTACACAAAAATGGTGTGCAAAATCACAAAAGAATTGAGGAGTAAAATGACACAAAACTGTGTGTAAATTACACAAGAACTGATCTTTAAAATCGCAGGAAATTGATGTGTGAAATCCCACAGAACTGAATGTAAAACAGCCAAGAACTGATGTGTAAAACCACACAAAATTGAGGTTTGAAATCCCACAAAACTGGTGGGAAAAATCCCACAAAAGATGTGTAAAATGACACAGAACTGATGTGTAAAATCAGACAAAACTGATGTATAAAAACACACAAAACTGATTTAAATTACTCAAGAACTGATGTGTAAAATCACACAAAATTAATGTGTAAAACCACACAAAATTGGTGTGTAAAATCAGAGAGAACTGATTGTAAATTACTCAAGAGCTGATGTTTAAAGTAACACAGAACTGGTGTGTAAATCCCACCAAACTGATAGGTAAAATCCTACAAAAGATGTTTAAAAATCCCACAAACATGATTTGTAAAATCCCACAAAACAGATGTGTCAAAATCCCACCAAAGACATGAAAAATCCCACAAAACTCATGTGTAAAATCCCACAAAACTGGTGGGTAAAATCAGACAAAACTGGTGTGGAAAATCCCCCAAAATTAATATGAAAAATCCCCCAAAACTGTGTAAAATCCCACAAAACTGATGTTTAAAATGCCACAAAACTGATGTGTAAAATACCACCAAAATTAGTGTAAAAATTGCACAACAATGGTGTGTAAAATCCCCAATCACTGGTGTGTTAAATCCAAAAAAAAAGATGTTTAAAATCCCACAAAACTGGTGTGTAAAATACCAAAAAAGACCTGTAAAATTCCACAAAATTGATGTGTAAAATTACCCAAAACTGGTGTGTAAAACCCCACAAAACTAAAGTGTAAAAATCCCACAAAACTGATGTGTAAAATCCAACAAAAGTGGTGTGTAAAATCCAACAAAAAACAGGTAAAATGCCACAAAACTGATGTGCAAAACCCCACAAAATTGATGTGTAAAAACCCGTAAAAATCCCTCAAAACTGTTGTTTAAATCTCACAAAACTGATGTGTAAAATCTAAAAAAATTGATGTGTAAAATCCCCCCAAACTATTGTAAAAATTCCACAATACTGGCTTGTAAAATCCCACAAAACTAATGTGTAAAATCCCACAAAACTGATGTGTAAAATCCCCCAAGACTGCTCTGTGAAATCCCACAAAATTGATATGTATAATCACACAAAGGTTGTGTAAAACCCCACCAAAATGGTGTGTAAAATCCTACAAAACACGGGCAAAAATAAACAAAACTGATGTTTAAAATCCAACTAAACTGATGTGGAAAAACCCACAAAACTGGTCTGTAAAACCCCACAGAACTGATGAGTGAAATCCCACAAACTTGATGTGGAAAATCCTCCAAATTCATGCTTAAAGTCCCACAAAAGATGCGAAAAAATCCTTCAAAACTGAGGTGTAATATCCCCCAAAACTGGTGTGGAAAATCCCACTAAATGGATGTGTCAAATCACACAAAAGGGATGTGAAAATCACAGTAAATTGATTTGTGAAATCACACAAACAGGTGTGAAAAATCAAAGAGAACTAATTGTAAATTACTCAAGAACTGATATTTAAAATCCCACAAAACTGGTGTGTAAATCACACAAAATTGACGAGTGAAATCCCACAGAAATGGTGTGGAAAATTACTCAAGAACTGATGTGGAAAACCAAACAAAATTGATCTTTGAAATCCCACAAAACTAATGAGTAAATCACTCGAGAACTGGTGTGGAAATCCCACAAAACCGGTGTGGAAAATCCCACAACAGACCTGAAAAAATCCCATAAAACTGTCGTTTAAATCTCAGAAAACTGATGTTTAAACACCCACAAAACTGATGTGTCAAATCCCACAAAAGTGGTGTGTAAAATCCCACAAAATCCAGGTGTAAAATCCCACAAGTTGTTTAAAACCTCCCAAAAAACGTGGTAAAATCCCACAAAACTTGTGTAAAATTCAAAAAAAAAAAAGTGTAAAATCCCACAAAAGACCTGAAAAAATCCCATAAAACTGGTGTGTAAAATCCCACAAAACTGATGTATAAAAAGGCACAAAACTGATCTGTAAAATCCTAAAAAATAAGTGTAAAACCCACAGAGAAACATGTAAAAATCCCAAAAACCTGGTGTGTAAAATCCCAGAAAAAACTGCAAAAAAATCCCATAAAACTGGTTTGGAAAATCCCACAAAACTGATTTGTGATGTCTCACCAAAAACATGTAAAATCTCACAAAAGATGAGTAAAATCCCACAACATTGATCTGTAAAATCCCACAACATTGATCTGTAATAACCCACGAAACTGGCGTGGAAAATCCCACAAAACACGAGTGAAACCCAACAAATGATGTGGAAAATCCCACCAACCTGGTGTGTAAAATCCCAGAAAACACGTGTCAAAATCCCACAAAACTGGTGTATAAAACCTTCACAATTGATATGTAAATTCCCAGAAAAACTGATGTGAAAAATCCCACCAAACACCTGTAAAATCCAAAAAAAACAAAGGGTAAAATCTCAGAAAACCATTGTGGAAAATCCTGCAGAAGACATATAAAAATCCCACAAAACTGGTGTGGAAAATCCCACAAAATTGATCTGTAAAATCATACAAAACTGATTGTAAATTACTCAAGAACTGATATTTAAAATCCCACAAAACTGATGTGTAAAATCCCACAAAACTGGTGTGGAAAATCCCACAAAACTGGTGTGGAAAATCCCACAAAACTAATGTAAAAAATCCCACAAAATTGATGTTTAAAATCCCCCAAAACTGATGTGTAAGATCTCACAAAACTGGTGTGTAAAATCCCCCCAAAAAATTGATCTGTAAAAATCACCCAAAACTGATCTGTAAAATCCCACAAGTCATGTAAAATCCCACAAAACCACTGTGTAAAATCCCATAAAACTGGTGTGTAAAACCCCACAAAACTGGTGTGTAAAATCCCTCAAAACTGATGTTTAAAATCATACAAAACTGATTGTAAATTAAGAGCTGATATTTAAAATCCCACAGACCTGATGTGTAAAATCCCACAAAACTGGTGTGGAAAATCCCACAAAAGACATTTAAAATCCCACAAAACTGGTGTGGAAAATCCCACAAAAGATGTGTAAAATCCCCCAAAATTAATGTATAAAATCCCACCAAATTGATTTTTAAAATCCCACAGAAGTGATGTTTAAAATCCCCCAAAACTGATGTGTCAAATCCCACAAAAGTAATGTAAAATCCCACAAAAGATGTGCAAAATCCCACAAAACTGATGTTTCAAATCCCACCAAACCTTTGGTGTCAATCCCTCCCCAGAGCTCTTGGCTTAATCCCCTTCACCGTTCCCTCCCGCCATCCCAAATTCCCTCCCAGGATCCCAAATTCCCTCCCATGATCCCAATTTCCCTCCTGGGATCCCAAATTCCCTCCTGGGATCCCGAATTCCCTCCCCAAAACTGCCGATTGGAACATCCTGAGGGAGCAGAAGGAGCTGCTCTTTTCCAGCAGAGCCCTGAAGGGTTTCCCCCATTTCCAAATCCTGCCCTGGAATCATTCCCGGGCTGGAATAACCGGGAATGTCCTGCTGGAATGTTCAGGTGGGAAGTGAGAACTTTGACGCTCCACTCAAACTCCGTGGAATCCTGAGACATTTTGGGGTATCCCCATAAAAAAAGACCCCCAAAATCTCCTCCTCCCCTCTTCCCGAGCTCCCACATCATCCCCATTCCCAGTGGGATCTTTTTTGGGATAACCCATCCCTGTTTTCCTTGCAGGGAGAACCGGGGGAGCCGAGTTCGCCGGGCCCTGCCGTGAGTTGGAATGTGTGGGATGAGGGGATGGGATGAGGGGATGGGATGAGGGGATGGGATGAGGGGGTGGAAACCTTCCCCAAAAATTCCCTGGACAAAGAGGTTTTGCTGGAAAAACAGTTCTGGGAATGGTTTCAGAGAATCACAGAATGACGGAATCAACGGGGTTGGGAAAGAACTCCGAGATCATCACGAGTCCAACCCTTGATCCAACGGGGTTTGTTGAAGGAATTGCTGGCTGAGGGGCTGGAATGGATTTTCCAGGGAAGCTGTGGCTGCCCCTGGATCCCTGGGAGCGTCCAAGGGCAGGTTGGAACAACCTGGAATAGTGGGAGGTTTTTATCTCCTTAAGAAATTCAGCTGCTGATTGTTTATACTGGGAAAATTTATATATCCTTAAGAAATTGGAATATGGATTGTTTATCCAGGGAAAAAATTATATATCCCTGAGAAATTGGAATATGGATTGTTTATCCCATGAAAAAATTTATATATCCTTAGGAAATTGGAATGTGGATTGTTTATCCTGGCAGAAATTTGTATATCCTTAAGAAATTGGAGTATGGGTTGTTCATCCCAGGAGAAAATTGTATATACTTGAGAAATTATGGGTTGTTTATCCCAGGATAAATTGATATATCCTTAAGAAATTGGAATATGGATTGTTTATCCCTTCAAAAAATTTATATGTCCTTAAAAAATTGGAATATGGATTGTTTATCCTGGGATAAATTTATATATTCTGAGAAATTGGAATATGGAACAATTCCCGGTCTTTTTCGGAGCCGATGTCCCTGGGAATCGTTTCTTCTTCTCCTTTTTTATCCTTTTTTAAAAGCACTTCTCCCTTTTTTTTTTTTAACTTGGCCTGCTTGGGTTTCGCTCTTTTATATTTAAATTGCAGATTTTTAAGGTTTTTAACTCCTCATCTTGATCGTCTCTCGAGGATTCCGGCTCCTCTTTTTTATTCCCAGGTGCTTCGGGCATTCAAATACAAAAAAAAAAAAAATTCAAATGCCAGAAAGAAATTCGAATTAAAAAAAAATCTAATTAAAAAAAATCAAATGCCAAAAAAATTCAAATTAAAAAAAAAATCAAATGCCAAAAAAAATCGAATTAAAAAATTCAAATGCTGAAAAAAAATAAAAAATCGAATTAAAAATTCAAATGGCAAAAAAAAATTCAAATGGCAAAAAAAAAAAAAAACAAACAGGATCTGTGTGATAACACCATCCAACAGCCACGGGATTATTCCCAGGGGTGTCCCGGGATCTCCTGCTTTTCCCTCCGGCTCATCCCGGAGTTGTTTCCCTTTCCAGCGTTTGCCAGAGTATTCCAAACCTGGAGCAGAAAGGTGGGAGAAATCCGGGATTTTTCACTCTGTTGGGAGTCTAAAAACGGGCCTGACCCTTCAGGATCTGGGAGTTAGGGGGGGATATATCCCAGAGGTTTTTTTGGTGGGAATGGTTTTAAGCGGGAATTTGATTTTGCTGCCGATATTGTGGAATCCCTGGAAGTGTCCCAGGCCAGGCTGGATTCTCTTGGAGCAACCTGGGATAGTGGGAAGCGTCCCTGCCCGTGGCAGGGGGTGGCACTGGATGGGATTTAAGGTCCCTTCCCACCCAAACCATTCCAGGATTCCATAATAGTTTTTTGGGAGAGAGGAGGATGCTCCAAACCGCAGCAAATCCCCCCCCAAAAAAAACCACTGGCAGGGAAGGGATAAAAAAAAACCCTGGCAAGGGATAAAAACCCACCTGAAACTCTTGAGGGGGACACTCCCAGCTCCTCCATTTGCATCTTTAATCCTGGAAGCCCGGGAGGTGGGAATCTTTTTTCCCCTTTTCCATCTTTTTCCTGGCCCTGGGTGCAGATTTCCTTGGGAATCCTCCCCTCCCTGTCCTGTTCTCTCCCATCTGCAGCAGGGCCTGTGGTACCTGTGATGAAGCTGCTCCAGCAACACTTCAATGACAGAAAGAGCCACTTCCACCCCTTAAATTCCCTTTAAATTGCTTCTTTTCCCATCTTTTATTTACCTGGAAGGAGCCAGAATGTAAATCTGCCCCAGCTGCAACTTTTCCCACCTGGGAATGAAAAGGTGCTGGGTTTGGGAGAGACTCTGGGCTGGTTTTTATCACCAGGATGGTGTTGGGAACAGTTTGAATCGGTCATCTCTGTCAAGAGGAATCTGCTGGCAGGGGGTGGAGGGTTAATTATATTTTTCTTCTAATAAATGTGTTTCCTTTTGACATCCCCCAGCAAACTGAGGGCAGGCAGAGAGTGTCGCTTGTCCATCTGAGCTGCTTTGAGCAGCCAGTTCAGCCTCCCCTGTGCACTCAGTGCCTCCAGTGGGGATAAATCCCATTTCCTCACATCCAGGGGGGGCTGAAAAGTGCCAGGAAAATCGTGCCAGGCTGTGGCAGCCTTATAAAAAAAAAAAACCCTAAATAAATGGGAATTTCCTGGAGCTTTAATTTGACCCCAGGCAAGGAGGTCCCGGTGCTGGACGTGGCTCTGGGTCCCCTCCGAGCTGGGTGGCTCCAGAAGCTCCAAAATGTGGCAAAAAAAGGGTCTGAAGCTGCAGATCCAGAGCCCAGGAATGTGTTTGACCCCCCCACCTCCTCAAATCTCAGCCACAGCCGTCACCACCGGAATTCTCTCGGAATTCCATCACCGGGATGCCTCTTCAGCCGCCGCTTCCCTGGATTTTCCGAGCTGGAATTAGGAATATAATGTGGTTACAATCAACTCACAGGTTTTCTTTGCCAACCCTACAAGCCCAGGAAGAGTTTGTGCTCAATCCCAACCTCAGATCCTCGAGGAGATTCCCAGCTGGAACTGTGGAATCCTGGACTCCGGGATCCTCCTGGTGAAATTCCATCCTGTCGATTGTTCCCAACCTCTTCAGCAACCACTAAAATCCGGGTTTTTTTCCCCCACTTTTTGGCAGGGGGCAGCAGGTCTGGATGGGAAGGATGGGAACAAGGGAGCCAAAGGTGACAGAGGCCTCCAGGGGCTGATGGGGAAGCCGGTGAGTGGTGGGAAGGGCCGTGGATTGTTCAGTGGGAAGGGCCGTGGATTGTTTGTTGGGAAGGGCCATGGATTGTTCAGTGGGAAGGGCCGTGGATTGTTTGTTGGGAAGGGCCGTGGATTGTTCAGTGGGAAGGGACATGGACTGATCTCCTGGAGGAGCCTCCAATGCGCCCCTTGGGCTGATTTTTGGGAGGATCATTTTCCAACTCCCAGCAGACACACCCTGTCCACGTTTCCAGCCTTCCAAGTTATCCCATCTTTTCCAGCCTGAGCTTCCCTTGGTTTCTTGCCAAGGCCCAAATTTCAAGTTCCTCCAGGTACCCAGTGTTGATCTTCCTGGTGGAGTAAGCAGGAAATGATGGAATAAATCCCTACAAAGCCCTCCTCATTTTCCTGGGATGAGCTGATTGGACCCCTCCCTTGATCCCAAATAATTTCCTTCCCGTGGATGGGGACTTTGACCCCTAATTGCTTAAAAATGACTCCTCAAAGTGATGCCTGGTGGGAGCAGGGCTTTATTTTCCGGAGACACACTGGATTCCAGAGGTTTTTCCTGCTTTGTTTCTCCGTGAGACCAAAAAAAAACCAAAAAAAAAAACAATAGGAGATTTTTTGGGAGGAAGCAGGAGAGGAAGATTCCATTATCTCCCAAACCTCACTCAGCTCCTCGAGGCGCTTTTCCCAAACTTCTCCCAGTGGTGGATCCTTTCCCACTTCCCTACATCCCTGACCTCCTCCCAGGTCATTCCCAGCCCCCCCTTCCAGAGCTCCTCGCATTTCCAGCCCCTCAAAACCGCCCTGAGCCCCGAATTTCCAGGGAGTTTTTGGTCAACAAAAAACCCACAGAATTCCTCCCAAGTTATCCCTGCCCTTCATTCCAAACATGGAATTTTTGTCCTGGTTTTTTTTTTCCCATGCAGGGATGGAAAGGTGATCGTGGGACCACCGGAGACCCCGGGCAGAAAGGAGCAAAGGTGAGGGAGGAGGTGGTGGTGGGGGGGGAGATTCTGTGGAATTCCCGATCCTTGGAGAGATTCCAAAGCTTTCTGGGCTGGTCAAACAGAATTCCTCCCTCCTGCCCTCTGCTGGATCCAACAGCCACCCCCTGTGATCTCCTTTATCCTCAGGGATTCCAAGGATTCCCGGGGCGCGCCGGCGCTCCTGGAGCCAAAGGCACCAAGGTGAGCGAATCCCAAACTTCCCCGTCCTGCTCCAGCTCCCCTGTTCATGGGGAAAAGTTTGGAGCTGCATTTTGTCCAACAACAACCTTTAAATTGCTGGTTTGATCCTTGTTTTCTCTGTGTTCAGAAATTATTGTGGAATTCTGGGCCATCAAATCTCTGCCCTCCCACTGAAACTCTGATTTTTTTCCCCTTAAATCCCCTCTCTTCCCATTCACCCCCGGGAATAATCCTCCCCATCTCCCAGCTCTGGAGGGAAAAATCCCTCTGGGAAGCACAGAGGAGCAGAGGGGATGGAGAGATTTTAAGGATTGCAGGGAATTTCGGGATAATCTGGGGCACAAATCCCCTCCTGGGCTTCGGTTTAGCAACAGCCTGGGCTTGGTTTTAGCTCCTCATGAACAAAGATAACGACCCTTAATGGGCTTTTTAGGCAGGCTTTGATAAGAAATAATGTTGGTAAACTGAGCCAGTGGGATGTGGGTTTATTAGTGTGGTGATTATTATTAATTATCATTGTTTTGCTATTAATATTTTCCTGCATCAGCAGGAAATTGTTGCCTGGGGGAATCTCCCACCTCCTTTCCTGGAGCTGAGCTGGAGACAACCTAAAACTCCTATTGATTTAAAACCATCGGAGTTAAATTGCTCTTAATTAGTTTTTTTTTTTTCCACTGGTCCAATTAGTGAAATTAGACCTTATTTAAAATGAGGATCTCAAATTTACAGCCCGAATTGACACTTTGGATTTTCCGGCCCCCTCAGTTATCCTTTTCCTTGCTTTTTCCAGAGCCAGTTTTCCACCCCCCCCCCCTCCAAAATGTTTCAAGGCCTGTTTGTCCTCAGGGCCCATCCCCTTCTTTTCCATCCCCAGGGAGAAATGGGAAGTCCTGGAAAACGGGGGATCCCGGGATCCGACGGACAGCACGGACCGAAGGTGAGGGAATTGTGGGATCACAGCGTGGATTGGGTGGGAAAAGACCTTCAAACCCACCCAGTTCCACAAATAAGAGGCTTCCCAAGAGCTCTGCAGGTGCCAAGTGTTTATTCCCTTCCAAAGGCCCAAACTGGGTTATTTTGGAGTGTTTTCCAGGAAAACCGACGTGGAGATGTTTTGGACACTGGGGAATGGGGGATTTTCCCACTCCAACCCCAGGACCATCCCAGAGAACTGGCATTCAGCCAGGGAATGGTTCTCAAGAGGTTTCATCCACCCCAACTCCACGGGGATCTGTTGGAATTCTCAAGGAATGGGTTTTTTTTTTCCTGGGATTTTTTCCTCCTCTCCTCGAGTGCCGAGCTCGGACTCTGCCGACAACTCCGTGACCTGAAGACCGAACCAGGTCCTTCAGGAAATGCCAGGAAATGTTGTTATCCATGATGTTTTCCCCTTTGGCTCCTTCCAGGGGGATCAGGGAGCAGCAGGGAAGGATGGAGCCTCGGGAATTCCTGGGGAGAAAGGAGAGAAGGTTTGTACTCCCCTCCCCTTTCCCGTTTTCCCGGAGCTGCCCTTTCAGCAAAAGGGAAATAAATCCCACCCCCCCCAGGTCGGGTGAACAAAATAACCCCCCTGCTCCATCCCAGGGGTCCTTTCCAGAGGGCAAAGGTTGGGAATGCTGTTGGAAAAGGCGGGAGAGGGAGATCTTGAATTCACCCTCTTAGTGTGAGGAAAAACCACCTCAACCCATTCCCAGGATTAAAGGATTCCTGGGATGCTTCCTTGGGTGTGGAAGTGGCTCCAGAGCTGCCCCCTCTGAGGAATCCTCACCTGGATCCCTCCCCCTTCCCTTTCTCTTCATTGTGGATTGTCCCCTTAAAAGGTCGAAATTTAAATTTAAATTTCAAATTCTCTCAATTTTAAAAAAATGGGGATCTCCAAGGAGCTGCTGCTTTTATTGGGGTTTTTTTTGGGGGGGGGAGGGGGGGGAAACATTCCCTGTCCTTCTCCTTCCTTCCCACAGAGCTCTGTTTTCCACCCTCAGAAGGAGGTTGGGAGGGGGGTGGGGGGGTTGGATTTTTTCCTTCCCTGGGTGTCCCATCCCTGTTCAGGATGGATCCCACAGGGTGCAGATCAAGAGGGGGAATTTCGAGACCGGTGCTCCCTGTTTTTTCCCCCCGAGGTCACAGGCTAAAGGACTCTGTTTAGATGAGCTGGGAATTAGGGAATGATCAGGGGGATCATCCCAAGGGAAGGGGGGGGGGCAAAGCCAAAGCCATGGGAATGGTGTCCCTCCATTGGGGACCCCCACATTTGGGTGATGTTGGACTGGAACACCTCCAAACCCGCTGCTCTTGGTGATTCCCAGGGAGCCAAAGGAGTTCCTGGGCTGGGAGGCTTCAAGGGGCAGATGGGATGGCCTGGGAAGGCTGGAATGGCCGGAGCAGATGGACCTCGAGGGCCCCAGGGAGAGCCGGGACCGCAGGTGAGACTGGCTGAGCCTGCCCTGACCCAGGGACCAAACCCCTGGCTGGGTCCCCACAGGGGTCCCCACATGGCCACATCTTCTTCTTTCTTTCTTTCTTCTTTCTTCTTTCTTCTTTCTTCTTTCTTCTTTCTTCTTTCTTCTTTCTTCTTTCTTCTTTCTTCTTTCTTCTTTCTTCTTTCTTCTTCTTCTTCTTCTGCTTCTTCTGCTTCTTCTTCTGCTTCTGCTTCTTCTTCTGCTTCTTCTTCTGCTTCTTCTTCTTCTTCTTCTCCTTCTTCTCCTTCTCCTTCTTCTCCTTCTTCTCCTTCTCCTTCTTCTTCTTCTTCTTCTTCTTCTTCTTCTTCTTCTTCTTCTTCTTCTTCTTCTTCTCCTTCTTCTCCTTCTCCCTCTTCTCCTTCTCCTCCTTCTCCTTCTCCTTCTTCTCCTTCTCCTTCTTCTTCTTCTTCTTCTTCTGCTTCTTCTGCTTCTTCTTCTGTTTCTTCTTCTTCTGCTGCTTCTTCTGCTTCTGCTTCTTCTGCTTCTGCTCCTGCTTCTGCTTCTCCTTCTTCTCCTTCTCCTTCTTCTTCTTCTTCTTCTTCTTTCACTTCTTCTTCTTACTCTCCCTCCTCTTCCTTTCTCCTCCTCCTCTTCCCCTTCCTCTTCCTCCTCTTCCTCCTCCTCCTCTTCTTCCTCCTCCTCTTCTTCCTCCTCCTCCTCCTCTCCCTCCTCCTCCTCCTCAGGGTAGCCCAGGACAAAAGGGGGTTGAGAAAATCCCAGGGCCCTGATCCCATCCCATCCAATCTGCCCAGGGATCCCCCAAGATCCACAGGGCTCGAGGTGACTTCCCAGGGAATCCCAAATCCCCCCCAGAGGGAACTTTGAGGGTCGTCCAGTTCCAACCCTGACACCTCCCACTGTCCCAGGTGCCCCCCAGGGGTATCCAACCCGGCCTTGGACACTCCCAGGGATCCAGGGGCAGCCACAGCTTCTCTGGGAAATCCATCCCAGCCCCTCCCCACCCTCCCAGCCAGCAATTCCACCCCAAAACCCCATCTCTCCCTGTCCTCTGGCAGTGGGAAGCTATTCCCTGTGTCCTGTCACTCCAAGCTCTTCTAAATATTCCCTTTCCACCTTTCTTGGCTCCCTCCAGGTCCTGGAAGGCCACAGTGAGGTCACCCCCAAAGCCTTTTCCAGGCTGAGCATTCCCAATTCTCCCAGGGGATGTTTCTTCTCCTGCCACTGCCCAAATTGGGCTTTGAGGGGAAAATCCCCTTAATATCTGGGATAATGTCTGGGATAATGTCTGGAATGGGCTTTGACTGAGCTCTCCTCTCCCTCTCCCTCTCCAGGGTCCTCCAGGGAAAAGAGGGAAGTGCCAGCTCTGCCTCAGGGGCCCCCCAGGCACGGAGGGACCGAAAGGAGCCACGGTGAGTGTGGGATGAGCCAGATCCACCTCCCGTGGGATGAGCCAGATCCACCTCCCAGGGAGCTTCCCGAGCTTCCAGGGAGCTTCCCCAGCTTCCAGGGAGCTTCCCCTGCTCCCACAGCCCTGCAGAGCTCTGGGTAAACCCTGGATGATCCAAGGGACAATTCCCAGCTCTCCAAATCCTGCAACTACAAAAGCAGGGACATTTTCCTCCCTAAATCCAGGCACTGGACGTGGGAATGCTCCACTTCTCCAGCTGGGACAATCCTGGGAGTGCTGGGGAATGTTTTAGATGAGATTTCCTTGGGAAAATATCATTTTTGGGGCAGCACATCCTCAGTGTGTTTGCCATGGAAAACCAGGAAAGAGGCCTGGCTGAAATTCCCAGCTCTCCAAATTCTGGAAAAGCAGGGACAACATTTTCCTCCCTAAAACCAGACACTGGATATGGGAATGCTCCACTTCTCCAGCTGGGACAACCCTGGGAGATCTGGGGGTTTCCAGGTGTTTAAAATCAGATTTCTTTGGGAAAACATCATTTTTTGGGCAGCACATCCTCAGCGTGTTTGCCACGGAAAAACAAGGAACAATCCCCTGGATGAGCCTTGGCTGCTCCAGGTTGGGAATTACAGCCACGTGGATTGAGAAAAACGCCCCTCCCGGCCCTCTAATTCGACCTTTAATATCCCTTTAAGTGTTTTTAATCAACAAATCCGATTTTCAGCGGCTCCCAGCCCGGTATTTGGCGGGGTGGCATTTTCTACCAGGAGGCAGCTGCTCCGTTTTTAACCCCCTTAAAAAAAAAAAAAAAAAAAAAAAAAAGGGAAAATAAACCTGATTTAAACCGCGGCTCTTAAAAAAAAATAATCTTTATTGTTCGAGGAAAAAAAAAAAAATCTGGGAGGCTTCTCCGGGCTCTGATGGTCGCTTTTGTTCTTGTTTTCCTGTCTCCTCTGTGGCTTATTCGCAGATAACCCTACAATTTACATCTCAAATCTTCGTTCGGGAAGCCTGGCCGTGACAATTTACAGGGAATTCAGAGCGTGTGGGAACATTTAGCGAGTGAATTCTCGGAGCTTTTTGTGCTGATTGAAGTGTTTTGTCCCAGGGTGAAAACGGCCCGGCCGGAAGGAAAGGAGAGAAGGGACATCCCGGGCTCTCGGTGAGTATTCCAGGCACTTCCCGAGGAGGGAAAACAGGCACGGACACCCACCCTGAGAGGCCCAGGGGAGGAGGGAAATGCTGGGAAATGCTGGGAAGTGGTTTCATCCCGAGGAAATGCGGGAGATGAGAGCGCTGGGATTAGCGGGATGGATGTCAGACCCGAAGGAGGATGGAGAGCCTGAGGCACAATTCCCATCTCCCGGCCTCCAAATCCCGCTTGGCAGGTGGGACCGGGGGCCACCAGGGCTGATCCAACCCTAAGGAAGGGCAGGAGACAGGAATGTGTTCCCATTTTTAAAGCCAGCAGGGAAAAGCTCTGGGCTTGTCAATCCTGAAGGAAAAGGATCCTCGTGGATCAGGGGAAAATCCCGAAAAATTTGAGTCTTCACCCTGTTGCAAATTGGGGTTTGTGCTGTTTGATTTATGCTTTAATTTTTCCCGAGTGTGGAGGATTAATTTTTAACATGGAAGGTGTGACCTGATCCTCGTGCTGGGGCTGATCCCAATCCCAGATCCCAGACCCCAATTCCTCCAGGCAAGAGGAGCAGGAGGCAGGATGGCCCTGAATTTCCAGAGGGAATGAGCCCCACACCTGGAATTTATCCCAAATCCTGCCCCAAGAGGTGGCACCGAAGCTCTCTCTGCCCTGAGCTGTCCCAGCAGGAGGAGTGGGGGGAATATTTTGGGATCCCTGAGGGGAGGGAGACAGTGCCAGGATCCCAAATCCCGCTTTTAACCCTTCATTCCCACCTTGGCCCAGGAGGAAGAGGTGAGGGAGGTGGTGAGGAGCGAGCTGAGAGGCAGATGTGGTGAGTTTGGCACCTGCAGGCAGGTGGTGAATTGGAGAGATCCAAGAAATATCCACAGGTCACCCCATCAGCAGCACAGGGGGCACCTCTGCGGGCTCCCAAAGGAATTCCCAGGGGGAATTCTGGGCCATCAAATCTCTGCCCTCCTTCAGAAACTCTGAGTTTTTTCCCCTGAAATCCCCTCTCTTCCCGTTTCTTTCTCTGTGGTTTCGTGGCAAATCCTTTCTCCCTGGGCATTCCCTTTCCCTGTTGATTGGGGAAAGTTTGGAGCTGACTTTTCCCTGAGAACACCCTTTCATTCCTGGTTTGATCCCTGTTTTCTCTGTGTTCAGAAATTATTGTGGAATTCTGGGCCATCAAATCTCTGCCCTCCTACAGAAACTCTGATTTTTTTCCCCTGAAATCCCCTCTCTTCCCATTTCATTCCCTGTGTTTTGGTCAGCAAATCCTTCCTCTCTGGTCATCCCTTTCCCTGTTCATTGGGGAAAGTTTGGGGCTGCATTTTCCCTGAGAACACTCTTTAATTCCTGTTTTATTCCCTGTTTTTGGGGCACCCCTGGACCCACAGACCTCTCCTCCTCAACCCCACCATCAGACTGGAATCCCAGTGCCTGGAGACTCCAGGAAAACATTGGGATGCTTTGAAGAGGGGGGGGGATTAAAGGGATGGAAAAGGGGCCGTGGAAGCATTTGCTGCCCAAAAAAATCGGGATTTGGTGAAAAAATCTTCTTTATGCACAGGGAAAAAACGCAGCCAAGCGTGCCCTGTCTGTGTTGTCTTTGCAGATGGTGGAGCTGAGATGGGAATGGTGCTCCTGGAAAAGGGTAAGGCTGCTGAAATCCATGGGAATGCACAGGAATTCAGATCACCCAGTGTTGCAAATCCTTCCTCCCTGGGCATTCCATTTCCCTGTTGACTGGGGAAAGTTTGGAGCTGCATTTTCCCCACTAACAACCTTTAATTCCTGATGTAATCCTGGTTCATAATCACCAGCTGTGACCCTGGGTCACCCAATGGGATCTTGGATCACCCAGTGGGACCCTGGATCACTCAATGGGTTCATGGATCACCAAATGGGATTCTGGATCACCCAGTGGGATTCTGGATCACCAAATGGGATTTTGGATCACCAAATGGGATCCTGGATCACCCAGTGGGATCCTGGATCACCCAGTGGGATCCTGGATCACGAACTGTGACCCCATATCACCAAATGGGATTCTGGATCACCAAATCTGACCCAGGATCACCCAGTGGGATCCTGGATCACCCAGTGGGATCTTGGATCACCCAGTGGGATCCTGGAACACCCACTGGGATCTTGGATCACCAAATGGGATTTTGGATCACTAAATGGGATCCTGGATCACCCAGTGGGATCCCGGATCAATTCCAACCTCAAGTCCTAAAAGCTTTCGGAGCTGAGGAGTGGAAATCCAACCAGAGGGGGATGCAAAGTTGTGGTGGCCACGTGGATGCAGCTCAGAGGGGGTCCTGTCCTAGATGGGACGACATTCCAGCCCTTGGGAAGGGCTGCAGCAGCTCCAGGGGCAAAACCAGGGGGGTTATTCCAAGTTTCCTGCCCAGTTTGGGGACGCTGAGCTCAGATTTCCCTGCTTTTGGGGTAGAAGGATCCCCCTCATCCCCAGTGTGCCACCTCCTCCTCCCCTCGGCCATTCCCAGGACCTGCCGTGTTGGACGTCACAGGTTTGACCTCCCCCTCCTGCCGGGGCTGGATTTGGGACCCTGGATGTTCTCAGACCTTCGGGGGCGGCTCCAGCCAACAATCCCATTAAATCCCGTCTCATAAATCCCCCGAGGGCGGGAGGAGCCGCTTCCAAAGGCTCCGTTATTGCCGCCTGATTTACGATCGATCCATCGCTGCCGGCTTTCCAGAGGCTCCCGAGCTTTTCCAAAGCTCCAGCCTGACGTTTGTCTCCTGGCAAACAGCTCCCATTTTCCCCCTCCCCGGGGCTGTTTAAGTGGTTTTTTTTGTTTGTTTTTTATTGTGGCCATTGAGTGTTTTTTTTGTTTTTATTGCTCCGTGACATTCCCGTCAAGAGGGGACTCGTTATCCCGGGAAGGCTCCAGCGATCCCTGTTTAAACGGGGGTTAATTAGTTTGTGTGCCCTCATTAAGTGTGATTTCCATTCGATCCAGAGGCTGAGGATACAAAGGATCCCTGGGAACAGGAGCCGCTCCAAGGAACCCGCGGGGAATTCCCAGGTGAGGGGAAGCGACGTTTTAGGGAAGGCAATTCCCTACCTGGGAAGGGCTTTTTTTGGGCAATTCGGGATGGAGGGAAGCGGCGGCACGAGCTTAATTAAAACTGGATTTAGGACTCGGCTTAAAGCCGGGTTTGCCCAGGGAAGGTATTCCCGATCCATCCCCACCAGGAAAATCCGCCGGGAGAGCCCTCCAGGCAGTTCCCTCCCAATCCATCCCAACATCCCCGGCGGGATTCAGGATTTTAAATCCCCCTCCTTCCAAAAGGTCACATCCCACCCACCCACCCACCCTGGTGGGGCACGGAGCATTCCCGTGCTATTCCCGCCGGGAATTCGCTGCTGGATGCCTTTCCTGGTGCCCGCTGCTCCTTCTGCTCTGCCAATCCCATTTCTTTGGGATCGGGTGGGGTTGTGGATCTCCCAATCCGAGCCCCGCGGGTTTTCCCGGGAAAACGGGGCTGGCCGAGCGTTGTGGCTTTTTCCCGGCTGGATCCAAAGGGTGAGCGGGGTTTTTTTGGGATGTTCTCCCTCAGCCTCCTGCCTGCAGCCCATGGATGAGGGACCCTGCCAGGATTATTCCCTGCTCTGGTACTTCCACCCCGGGGCCAAAACCTGCCGGCCCTTCGTTTTTGGGGGGTGCGGCGGGAACGGGAACCGCTTCCCATCCCGGCGGGAATGCGAGAGGAGCTGCGGAGCCCCGGCAGGTGAGGCAGCCCCTGGACCCCCCGAAAAACCTCCTCCAAACCCAGCCAGGAGGGAGGGGGAGGCGGGAAACCTTCCCCTTTGTGACCGTCCCCACCATCCCACCCCACCCCCGAGAGACCCGGAGCGCTGTCCCCGATTTCCAAGGATTTGTTCCCTTTCCATTCCCAGCCGGCTTTGATCCCCTTCCAGGACGTCCCCTCCCTTGGGTTGATCCCACTGGGAATGAGGAGGCTCCAGCTGGGGTGGTTTGTGCTGTCTGAGGGCGGAATTTTGCAGGATTTTGGGGGGAATGGTGCCCTCCAAACCCTTCCATCCAACCCCCTCCTTGGCATCTGCAGCCACCAGGGGCGTCCAAACCTGCTCCAGAGCAGCTTGTGAACAGTCCCCAAACCCCCCCAGCATCAGGGTTCCACCTGATCCAGGGAAAAACTCTCTCCTGGAAGCAGGACTGGGCTTCCATCCCTGGATATCCGGGATTTGTGTGGATTTTCCATCGCCTCCAGGGGGAAAACGGGCCCTGGCAGTGACTCAGACTCTGCTGCCCAAGCTGTGGTTGAAACCAGAAAGATGTTTTTCCCCCCAGAGGAGAAAACTCCTCTGGGAACCAGGAAAAAGAAAAAAAAAAAAAAAATTTGTTCTCCAGAACC